ACTGATTGTGTGTAATTAGGGATCGGAAGTGTGATAGAGCATCTAATAGGTATAACTAAATTGACCCAAGACATACCTCAGCCAAAGATGATAACATCATGAGGAGATAAAGGACAAAAGGCTTAAGTAATATAGACTGGGAACGAAAAACATCCAGTAAATTGCATTTCATTGACGGTATTTTGAAGTTCAATGATTAAGATACTGATCTTAAAACAGCGGGTAGCGCCAAAACGGGAAGTGAACACTTAAGAATTGAATTTACGACATAAGTGGCAATGGTATTGCTCGTTCGATGCAAACACCGACAAAGAGTCCATCTCATTCCAAAATTTAGTGCATGCAAAAATTTCATCACTAGAAATATATGAGGGAAGGACAAATTGTGGTTTATATGTCTGCTTTAATATCTGAAATTTAAAAGTAAACAGAGCGATTTGTCTCTCTGAGATGTTCAGCTAACTGAGTAGATTATACTGCGCACTGCATTAAAGGCAATATACCTTTTTGCACTGAATTCCGAAATATTTGAGGGTCGAAAGGAGATGAGCCCAGACAAGTAAAAACACCCGTTAGATAGGGCACTTAAAGGACACTTAGGCAGTACTTGCTATCAGAAATAGATACATAAGTGATTAACTCTCGACAAAGAATATCTGTATATTTACAATTATGCGTGGACAATTAACTTGATCCGCCCTTTTTGAGGTGCTATGTTTGGGTTGAATGAAACATTTATGAGAGTGCCAAAGCAAACCCACTATCAGGCATATTTATAGTACAATTACAACTGAAATATCACTGGGGTTGTGTATATTTAGCACCACCTACTTTAAGCAATAATAAGCCAAATGCTTGAAAATATCCATAGTTTTAGAGGCCTGGGATCAAGCTCTCCATCGATGCTTTCTTGATGACTCTTAAGATTGGTATTTGTGAAGACGCGTTGTTTTCGTCTTACCAGCATGATTTAAGTACAGCAAAACACGACTTCAAAAAGTGTATTGTAATGAATTTACAAGAACGTTCTTGGTGACTCGTGAGAAAGACTTGACCATTTTGCTGGTTGTAATACACCAGGCAATTTAGTATTGAAAAGAAAGGAAACTTGATCACGATGTCAAGAGATGTAGAGATATCGCTGAGAGAGTGTTTACCCCATGGCAAAGCAATATAACACATTCTTCACTTTCAATAACCATGAGAACGTTTTTAAATTCATCCAGCCCCTCCTTATTGGGAAAACTTTTCTTTACGCTCTCAACGTGCTCGTCTTAAGCGGATTTGATCTTCACTTTCAAGTTCTGATGGAGCTGATCCAAGTACAGTTTTTCCAAGTTCATTCAACGCCTCGTGAGATAGAAGTTAATCAGTTACGAATTTCATTATGCGAGTACAAATTTCAGCTGGCTAATATCTCCCTGAATAGCATAAGTTTAATAAAGACAACACTCGAAACAGCTGCAAATTCATGGTTGTGTAAAATGCTAAGCAGCTAAAATTGTACCTGTGTGGTCACAGCCTCAACATACAACTACAATCTTGGCCTAACAAAGTTTCTAATTTTTCATGCGAGAGACTTCTCATCGGGCGATTTAGTGTGGTATATGTGAAGAAAATGTCAACCCTCTTAGAACAACAAAGTATTGTTTTACAGGCGAGTCATGATGTGTTTAGTTAAACTTGATGGATCTTCTTTGAGGTTGCCGCAGTCTGCTCTACCCTTAATTGACTGACGCATTTATAGTCTCGCTTGCTTTTAAAAAGAAAAGGTTTAATTATACTGGAGCGGAAGAGGTTGTTTGATATTCGATCATTCAATAATGGATTAGAAAAGCGCAAAACACAATATGTGAAAAGCTGGAAACCTGACAAGGAAGATTCTTTTTTACTGTAGCTCTTTATGAAAAAAAAAAAATTAGAAGGAGAAAAAATGAGAAATATTGTGTTTGTTTGTTGGAGGTATTCTTTTGCTCCGCCGTGGAAACCATTTTGTTGTTTGTTCCCATCTCAGCTGAGTAGCCTTGTCGTTCAAAACTTCCGGTGTTACAAAAGACCTTGGTTCTTTCTTCATCCTTGTCCCATTTTTAAGGCTAGTAAGTCAGCTCCAACCAGTTCCAGCAGCGGAGAAGAGGTAGAAAAACAAAATACTTGGAAAGAACTAAAAAACAACCCAAGGCACTAGACCGTGTGTTGGCTTCCCTTTGATGTGATTGGTTGATGTGTTTGTAGCCAGATAGCTGGCATACATTGTAATTTAGCAATTTCCTATTTGAACCGCAAAATGGAACATATTGTCAGATATTTTAATCATATCTTGTTTAAGACTTCCTAAAGTTCATTTTATTTGAATTATATGTCTTTATCGGCGTACTTTGATGAATTGGCAATAAAGAAAGTTTTACCTAATACCCTGGTCTTTACTGAAGAACTGTTGGGTAAATTTTGCGTACAAAGCACAGCGCAATTTCCGGGGTAGGCGGCACCTGGGTCAATTCTTGTTGGGTATGTACCGCTGGCCATTCAGAACGCCTATTCCATTATCGTCTATTTTGTGGCTAGTTATAAGCCCCATCCTAGTCGCTTTTTCAGCCGCTAATCTTCCAATTTTGAAATGGTTACTTACCAGACTTTTCGCACCCCCAAAATCCCGAAAATGCTCAACCTCATTCCTGTACCTCTATCGAAAATGCATCAACCCCATCCACATGATCCAGCGACACATCCCCAAGGGCCTATCATCAAGAAGAACGCCCCGACGGCCACCAATTCATGATTACGTTCATTTATTTTTTATTCTTATTTCAAAGATTTACTTTGTTGTTCTCATAAATTTGTTTTCTAACACGCTCGAATAAGGTCCTGATTCGGCTTTTTTAATTTAGTCTACGAATCATGATTTGCCCAGAAAAAATAAAATCGATCGCAAGGAGTACTCGGGTATCGTGTCAGCAAAAAGTTAGGAACTGGTCCGGAAAAGAAAAATGAAATTCTTATCGGTGATACTGGCGAAAGGTTTAGATACGGGATTGTTGTATGCGAGAGCGCCAAACGATTGATGGCTGACTGAACAAAAGTCCTTAGCGATTAGATTGCATGCAGTACCGATGGAGAAAAATCTTTTTCAAAAGGCTCTTTACAAACACTTCGCTCTGTAGGACCTATGCCTGCATTTCTTGACAATAATGAACAAAAGTCCTTTGAGGTGGCTGGATACAGCTACCCTAAGCTCTGACCGGCTACATTCAGAGTCCTAAAAAACTCTTCTTTACGAAGAAAAATAAGCTTGAACATTTCTTATGTAACATGGCTTACTACTATTCTTTTATAAAGTGGTTTCCTCCTCAGGTGCAAGCCAGAGTGAAAGGCTAGATCCGTAGAAGTTATTAATTTTCCTTCTTTTGTTTTGTGTTATTTTGTTTGAACTTAAATAAGATCAGGGAGATCTTTGAGGTTCATCGTCTTCTCTTGCACTCTATGTATGTATGGCTTTAGTCATAAAAGTCATAAAAACTATCGGTTTTTCACCGTCGATTCATACCCAAGTAGTTTGGTGCAATGTTCAACGTTTGTGTTTTCTTTAAAGTAAAATCAGACTTGTCTTAAACGGGTATGCGCAGCCGAACAGGGCATGGATCATGAGGTCTTAAAACGTCTTTCCTAGTACCTATGGCACGAAATGTTTTGGCATTTTCTGGCTGATAGCTGTATTCAAAATTTGAAATAATCAACCCGATTTGGCAACCAAAGCGTGTCCACATTTGGCGCTCCGGTGTTCTCATAGGCGTTTCACAGGCAAACAGCAACGGTTTCGACGGCGAACAGTGAAGTTACATGGTTAGTTCAAAAGTGACTCTGTCATGAAGCATATACTTCATCACATTCGGTCTCCGTCTTTTTCTGAAGGAAGTGTAGCGGTTCTTCCTTTCAATCCTAATGCTCAGTTGGCCCTAAGCCCTTACCTTTCCAACACATCGAAATTTGCCTTATATCCGATGGCACGGCCAAGCGAGAATTAAGTGGTGGACTGCAAGGATCTGCAAGTAGAGAACGACTGGGTTCGAGTCTCGGTCATCACGCGGATCATTGAATGTGTCTTATCACGAACAGATAGCGTACGCAGGTAAAGAAAAAGCATCTGGATAATTTTAAAATACATTTTTAGCTCGTTGTACGTCGGACAGGCAATCCTATTGGGATCTGTATTAATAAAGGTTGTAAAAATAGTCATGCATGCAGTTTTATCCGGGCGTAAAAGTCTAATGGTATGTTACTCACGAGGTAATCAGGCAATGGAAGTGACCACTGTTGTAAATAGATTTTTTTTTCTGTAAAGAGACAACGGTCAAAACAAAACCTTCTTTATCTGAAATAATTCAGTCAGCCTTCCCCACCCCCCCCGCATACAAAATTCCCGTCTCTGCACTCTCCTCAGAGGGTCTTAATGGGGATAACCGTTAGCCGTAAAACGGCCAAAAAATTTAGCCGTTAGGCGTAAAAATTGACAAATTTTAACCTTTAGTCGTAAAAAAAGTTTACCGTGAAAAATATATGGTAGAAACAATGGCAATGACAATGAATATTCTGGTAGAAACAATGGAAAGGTGTTAACCGTTAGCCGTAAATTGGCCAAAATTTTAACCGTTAGCCGTAAAAGCCATCACCCCATTGAGACCCTCTCCTCAGTTCCTCTTCTTCTGATATCTGCTCACCCAATAACCTTTACTGACAACTTCGGACTAAAAAGCAGTTTATTCTTTAAGATTGCAATAAACGAAGTATTTAAAACAGCTTCACATGTTTGGTCAACTACGATAATTGTGTTAACATTTCAGTAAAAAAAAATCCCTAAATCTAGAATTTCGAAATAGAACATACGATAATTTCAAGTTTGGCTTAGAATGACGATTAAACGGAGTGCAGAATTTAAGACTATCTAAAGACAAATAAATAGCTTTAACACTTACTATCATTAAATAGCTGAAAACAATTTTGTCAAATATCCTTTCTGAAATGTAAACAGTACAAGATCTTATATAATTGATATGCACCTGACAACACTTAAACCGCTTGTGTCAAGGTATTTTGGAAAGTATCATTCATCACGTTAACCAGACTAGCCTGAACTAGAAAAGCGAAAGAATCCACCCCTATAAGACCTATAGCTAATGAAAAATCATTCACACACACGCTCAGTATAAATAACAAAACTAAACACTGTGCAGGGAAATGCATAAATTCGATACAATTGCCACGATTATGAGCTAAAAATTTCAAAAACTGTTTGACTGGAACTAAAACACTAACACTGTTAAACTAATATCACATCATGAGTCAAACATCAAGTTAACTAGTTAAGCCTTTCCATAGTCAACGCAAGGGTGGTTGGCTTGCAAAACCTGCAATTTCTTGTTTCCTGGGCGGTGTTTTTTCCTGTACAGTATGGCTGCGATAAGCACGACAAGCAAGAACCCAACAATGGCGCTGCCGACAGCAGACATGAGCATAATGCTTCTCATTCCCTTAGGTCGAACAGTCTCAGTGATAGTACCAGCTTCCTCTTTGCTCACATCACCGCCCATGTTGGGAAACACGACTTCAACGATGCCCACGTACCTCTTATTCACGTGTTCTCGAACGAACTCGGCCATCACGTTCTCAAACTGCTGGCATTTTCCATCGCGGGCGCAGCTCAAGAGCTCCAAGCACATTTCATGCAGCGTATCCATCCACTTTGGAATATGGGCTGTGCTGTTGTCATGGAAGGCATCGCTGAAATACCAGAAAAACCCAGTGCGATCTGTGACGCGTCGAATAGCGGCCATCAGTGTCAAGTACTCGCTCCATCCCAGATCATGAGGACAAAATGCGGTGCTAATGGGTGTAAACGCCTGGCCAGCGTAATTCAAGGCTGCATCGCACTCTGTGGCCAGCTTAAAAGGTATGTTTTCCGACATGTTACCCTTCTTTCCAAATTGGTGTACTAAGTCATCATCCACCACCATGTGGTTTGGTGTGAAACCGTCATATATAGTTACGCTTTCGTATGAAGAGGGATAAACGGCTTCAACTCTGCACCAACCAGGCTCACGATCAGCTCCGGAAATTCCTCGGATGAAGTCTCCATTGGATAGCTGTGATACGCGGATGATTCCTTTGCTTTGTTCCTCCACATGCATATCACCAGATACACACCCATTATTGTTGCAGCAGTCTCTACAACCGCTGCACCTTCTTTTGTCGTTGTTATCGACATCTACCTGAGCCAGTATCACTGGCACAAGGATGCCGATGATGAGCAGTGACAGTTTCATGATACGAGTTATGCTTCCTGTTTGTAGAGCCTTAGAGAATAAGAAAAAAAAAAAGACAAAAGGAATAATTTACTATTAAAGGACAATAGGATAGAGGACATGTATATCAAGTAAGTCTGAGGGTATTTCACAAGAGCGTCATGACGACCTTGTTCGCAACGAGTACAAGTGACTCAGCTGAGACAGCATTCATCTACGAAAACAGAATCGCTGAGGTTGAAATTTCAACCGCTATTAAAAACTGATCAGCTTTTTGTCGCTATCTCACACTCAAGGCAGGTTTTGGAATACACCCGACACTGAAAGTTTTGCATGTTCACTTTGTGAATTCTATGTGCATCAAATATGTACAGTCATTTTTTCTTCGGGAATAATTCATTTAAGTGATCCAGTATCCTCAGACATTAGGGAGTGTAAGATGATACTATGGCTACGTGTGGTAAAAGGTTACCGAAAAATCACCGATTGGTTTAGAAATCAATCGGGTGACTTTGCTTAAAATGATTTCATTGCCTTGGCAGTGAAACTGAGAGCTGCAAACATGCAACTGCAACCGCGGTTGTTGATCCTTTACCGCTGAAACGGTCACGTACATGGGAGATACGTGTTCCAAATCAACGGAAGTTTATTTACCAAAGCGCTGAAAAGGTGGTAATGTAAAACTTAATGTCATCACAACTTATGCAGTCATTGTTTAAAATGTCATGCAACGTAAGTCTCTGATGGATTTTCCAATGTATTTTGTTGACAAGAGAAACGAAAGAATTTAATATTGAAGAAATGTCGCAAAAGTTCGATGTTTCCGCCGGCTTACAAATGTACTTCGTCGTAGAACTCACGTGTAATGCCATTTCTCTGTTAATTAGGGCCTTTTGCTCACGACATCACGAGTTGAAGGCTGTTATCAAATATTTTTAACCTCCTCAACTTGAATTGGGAAAACGATGCCTGCATCATGCAAGTGAGATGAAACTCGAAGATAAATGGAACTCAAGCAACTAGCTGCTGAACGAAAATGCCTGAAATCTCTATCAGATTTATTCATTATTTTTTCTTGTTGCGATAGTTTTGTCTTCCAAAATGCATCTTTTTAAACAAACCTTTTCGTCTTTCTAAGCAAGTTATGAGACGTCACATCAATTATTTCTTATGCCAATCCCCTTCTTGAAGAAACATGGTATACTAAATGGTTAAGAATATATGAAAGTCATATATTTGAACTGCGGATAAAGACGTGAATGAAAGTGATCCTCGCAGTAATATGCACTACTTAGGCAGTAGTGAAAATGCCTTTACGGGATTTGAACCCATGACCTCTGCGGGGGTCAAATCATGGGTTCAAATCCCGTACAGGCCTGAATTTTTTTCAGGCCTTATTTTCACTACTGCCTAAGTAGTGCATATTACTGCGAGGATCACTTTCATTCACATGGTATACTCTCGTCTAATCTCTGCTTTGCATCACAACAGAACAATCTGTTCTGGATATAGACCGATGAGGAACGGATCCTTTTAATTAGGATACCTGGGAGAGCATGATTAAATCGAATCTACTGAAATAGCAACAAAAACGTTCTTACATGAAAGCTGACTATTCCCTTTTAAAAGCAAGCACAGTGTCACCCTTTCTACAGCAACAAAGAGATAGAAGGAGAAAAAGCAATGAAAGAGAGAGAAACCAAATTAAAAAATAGACTGTTCGAGTTTCGAGAAGTTTCAGATTTTTGGACTCAAGACCCCAAACAATAAGGAATGTTTTCATGTTAACCCTATGACTTCATGTCTAGATTGGCTGCAGTTTGGCTAACGAAAGATCAGCGGAAATGGTGTAAATGCTGTCGTAAAATTTATACACGAAATCATCAAAGAGCAATCTAGGACGAAAAGGTGAGTTATGACGCGTGCAATTATTAAAACAAGAAGCACATTTCCTGCATGGAGCGCAATCCTCGTTTGAGGACGGGTGTAAAAAACTTTGACTCAATCTAATGACAGGTTTTCGAATGACATACATGTCGAACAGAATGAGTTGCTTGGGTGCAGTTAGAGTCAACGCAAGTTTTCTTATCGATATAGTTGCTTCTACACATGTGGTCGAATATTCACGCCACTAAAGCAAATTAATCGCGAACAAGACATAGGCCTCATTCTTATTCTTAACCTCATTCTTTTCCTATTCAACTTTTCTTGTTCATGATCATATAGTTGAATCTCAAATGTCGATTGAACTGGCTCTTTCGGTGAGTTAGATTACCTTTGACTACCGATTTCAATCCACTGAATCCACGAGTGTATGTACGTTAATTTTACGGCTCTTTTGTCTTATCTCTTTGGGAACTTTTTGATCGAGTATGAGCTTACAAATGAGAACTTGCCTATCGATTGGCCCAAACTCGTGGAGCCGTGCATCAAAACACAACTTTTAACGATAACTATCATTCGCGTCGACTAACATAACCACTATGCTTACTGGTTGAATTTCAAAGTTGCACAACGTAAAATAAATTATCATTCAGTCCTTTTATGCATATAATCTGTTGTTAAAAGGAGGCTAAACAGATTCCATCAAGCGGACTAAAAGTTTCAGTTGTTAATACAGTGTACTCACCTCAAACTTTGCCAAAAATGAAATCCGGAGTTATCTTTGTTATGATGTCCAACGGTCACGAGGAGCCAATTTATACGCTTCGTTGTTGAGCCCAGCTCCTCTACGTGACCATGTTTTTTGTTTTGTTGTTTGCTGAGCAAGATCAGTTTTCTCACGAGAAAGTTTACAAAGCGCTGAAAAGGAAGTTTTGCACCATACATTCCTTCACACTTTGCAATGCAAGAAATCCAACAACTTCCTTGTTTGGAAATCAGGCAAAGAAGACCGTGATAGTCAACCTCTTAACTTTGTCTTTCCTTCTGTTTAACAGCTGACGAAGACTGTACCTCAGGCGTTTACATTTAATCGATATAGTCTAGAAAAAGCCACAGTGATGGAACCAAAAGCGAGCTGATGGGATGGACTTGAAGAAGAAACCAGTCGGATAAAACGCAAATCCAGTATAATACGTGATGTGCTGCCTTTTTTATTGTAATCTGGATATGCTGTTATTGCTAATACGTGTACATCAATCATCCTCTTATGTCTATCCCAGTAAGCTTTGAGAAGTCACGTTCATAGAGGAAATAAATTTAACAAAGAATACATCGCAGTGTTTCTTACTCACTTGGTTACTGATCGTTTAATTAATGTTTCATTTCGCTAATGACGAGTTAGCTTACGTCCATGTTCGCCTATGTCTCAGTGCAATTCGCTAACGTCTTATAGGTCGCTTTGCTATCGTATAGCAAAACGTTGAGTGATTCCATCTGTAGAATTCAGGATCGACCTCTAACCGACTAAAATGTCGATCACTGGTTGACTACAATTAAATGGACACAAAATACGGAAAAATCAAATTTTGTGATTCTTCACCCTCGCCGAAAGAAAATGCATTATTCTCCTCAAATAATTATCGTGCGATAGCGAAACAAACAGAAGAGTTATTTAGAACACAAGAGCTTCATTAAACTTGTTTAAATATTTGAATGTGTAGTCACCATCGATTCCATTTCAGGCATATGATCCCAGCTCATTGGTAGTTCGTATGCAGTCAAAATTATATATTCCCCCTTTATAGTCTTTTTGCGACGACTGATCCCTGATTGCCCCTGAAAACCATGTGATTTCCGCAAAATCCCTCACCCCTCTCCCTCAAAAGGGGCGAGTTGTCCCTTAAGCACTACGTTTCACAGGCGTTGTTAGACCTCATTTTTCATCGAACAGGTAATCCCATCGATACGTGGATCAATCAAAATTCTCGAACGTGATTGGTTATCACCAGACTGATTTGAGCGCTCTTAGGACAGTATACGCGTCATGTTTATAATTGGACAGTGTATTAGGACAGTTAACGCGTCACGCCTGCGTATACGAGGACAGTACGCGTCATGTGCACGCGCTGTTGTTGCGCACTTCGCCGAGTTAACTATTGTCTTTTTATGAAAACATTCAACGGATGTTTAGTTTCTCTCCCGAATTTTGTCATCACTTTGATTAGTTGGTAAAAGGAATTCTGTCTGAATCATGCTCGTGATTAACAAATGGAACTCCCGCTTCGCACTCGTCCGATTTTTTTTAATCACTCGTATGATTACAGACCGAACTGGACTCCACTCGGTCCTATTACTATTAATAATCAAGATTGAACAAAAGGTCAAAGTGTTTATGCATACAGCTTCTTTCTGGGCGAAAAAATTTCAAGGTACTCACGAGATAGCCATGCAATGGAAGTGACCGCTATTTCAGGTAGAACTAAAAGACACTTGTCAGCCTTTCCCCCGAACATAAAATTCCCATCCCTGCATTTGTCTCATTTCCTCTCCTTTTCATATCTACTCGCCCAAAGAAGTTCAGAGCTATGGGATGAAAAGCAGTTTATTTTTTACGATTGCAATGAACGAAGTATTCAAACTAGCCTCACATATTTGGTCAATTAGGATAATTGTGTGAACTTACAGTTTAAAAAATTTCTAAAATCTTACATACCGAAATAGAAATTACGATCATATCGAGTTAAACCTAGAATATCGAGTAAATAGAATGCATATTTAAAGCGATTTGAAAATAGCATTAAAAATCTGAAAGCATTTTCGTCAAGTATCCTTCCCGAAAAAGTGCGAGATTTTGTATAACTAACATGTACCTAACAAGACTTCAATCGGCTTGTGTTAAGATACTTATGAGAAAATCATTCATGATTTTACCTAGACTCGCCTACCCTAGTGACAGAGTATTAAGGGACACTATAAAAAAATCGCCTGCCAATGAGGGGTGGTCATTGGAAGACTACAGAGCCTTTTGGGGGGGGGGGGGGAATCAAGTAAATTTGTTGTAACAAAACCATTCCTATAACGTTGTATGTCGCTGTCACACTAGTCACACATCATGGATCGCAAAAATCCACTTTACTAGTCTAGGCCTTTTCATTGACACTTTTGATTTGGGGGTGGCTGACTTGCAGAATCCGCATTTTCCTGTTTCCTCGGTGGTGTTTTTTCCTGTACAGTATGGCTGCAACAAGCACAACAAGCAAGAACCCACCTATGGCGCTGCCGATAGCAGAAATGAGCATAATGCTTTTCATTGTCTTAGGTCGAACAGTCTCAGTGATAGTACCAGCTTCTTCTTTCCTCACATCACCGCCCATGTTGGGAAACACGACTTCAACGATGCCCACGTACCTCTTATTCACGTGTTCTCGAACGAACTCGGCCATCACATTCTCAAACTGCTGGCATTTTCCATCGCGGGCACAGCTCAAGAGCTCCAGGCACATTTCATGCAACATGTCCGTCCAAAATGGTACATGAGCTGTGTCGTTATCATGGAAGGCATCGCTGAAATACCAGAAAAACCCAGTGCGATCTGTAACGCGTCGAATAGCAGCCATCAGGGTCAGGTACTCGCTCCATCCCAGATCATGAGGACAAAATGTGGTGCTGATGGGTGTAAACGCCTGACCAGCGGCGTTCAGGGTGGCATCGCACTCTGTGGCCAGTTTAAATGGTATGTTTTGTGTCGCGTTGCCCTTCTTTCCGAATTGGTGTACAAAGTCATCATCAACCACCATGTGGCCCGCTGTGAAACCTTCATATGTAGTTACCGTTACGTTTGAAGAGGGATAAACGGCTTCAACTCTGCACCAACCAGGCTTACGATCGGCTCCGGAAATTCCTCGGATGAAGTCTCCATTGGATAGTTGTGATACGCGGATGATTCCTTTGCTTTGCTCTTCCACATGCATATCACCAGATACACAGTTATATACATTGCAGCAGTTCTCACAGTTGTTGCACTCTCTGTGAGCCAATTTCGCTGGCACAAGGATTCCGATGATCAGCAATGATAATTTTATAGTAGTCATGCTACTAGTTTGTAGAGCTTTAGGAAAAAAAAGAGAAAAGAGACAAAGGTAGTGATTAGAGAATGATAACCTAAAGGAAATATGCATAAAGAAATCTGAAGGTGTTTTGCATGTGAACTTAGGATAAGGCCTTGCGTGCAAAGAGTCCAGGTGTAGTTTTTCTTTCTTTTTTCAAAGAACAGGGAGTGGAACCCGACCAAAATGTTATCACCTGCCCTTTAAAACCTAGTTAAGAAAGCCTAGGTCAACAACTGAATTATCTTTTTCTTTCATGTTTGTGCAGCTAGAAAACATTTAAACGCCGTGATGTATTGCGGAGATGTCGTGAATGTTTACACTTCGAAATGGCTAAAAAATCAACAGGCCTATGAAAAAAAAAATTATCAAGTAAATGTTTCCAGTCAAGAGTTTGGAATTAGAACGTTCGACTGAGTTCGACTTAAATACACTTTTTTGGTGACTTCAATTATCAGTTGATTATAAAATTCGACTCGACTGAATGGAATGGTGTCCATGTAGTGTTATTTTACAGCTCTTATGTCTAATTTTTTAAGGAACTCTTCAAGCTTTCTCGACCTCTCTCGCTCTCCATAGTAACGTGATTTGGCGCAGTCAACGTGTTTTTCAATCATGTTAGCAAGCTTCCTTTCTGTTGTTAGCATTTTCGACCTTTAAAGATATGCGAGACAATTTGAGAATGTACAATGATGAAAATTATGACAATTGTCAAATTACTATGAAATATATATATAATTGTGCGGTTGTGTCAAACAACTCATGGACGCATTCTACTGACGTTTAATTAACATGTCAACCTTGGTATTTTAATAAACTCAATCCTGGGTAGCAGAGATCGAGTACGAGCATGAGAATGAGAACTTTCGTACCGAATGTTCCATTACGAAACCGGCGACTCTTGTTTGAATTGTGTGGGATGTAGCGTGACTGAAAGCCTTTGGTTCGAACTCGCGGAGCCCCACATCAAAACACAACTTTGAACAATAACTATCATTCGTGTCGACTACTGAACGTAACCACTTTGTTTCCTAGTAGAATTTCACTCTCGCAGAGCGTAAAATGTACTATCATTCAAGCTGGTCGATTTATCCATAGACCCTGTGATTCAAAAAAGGGTCAGCAGATTCTGTCAAGTGGACTAAACGTTTCAGTTCATAATGCCGCAAATAAAACCACTGTACTCACCTCAAACTTTGCTCAAAAATAAAAGAAATCCAGATTTATCTTTGTTCTGAGGTCCAACAACACCAGGACTCCTTGAAGCCAATTTATACGCTTTGTTGTTGACCCTTGCTCCTTTGCGTGCCTATGTTTTTAATTTCCTTGTTTGTCAAGCAAAATCAATTCAGTCAGCGAACAAAAGAATGCGCGACGCTGAACTGAGAGAGCGGTAGTCTTTGCCGCGACGAGAAGAAGACATACTGACCACTGATCCTTTAAGTGAAAAAGTCAATGCATTATTTTACATTTCTTAAATCAAGCGATTAAAATGTTCAACTAATTAACGTCTCAACCGAAAAATAAATCGAGCTTTAATGCAATTCCTTTAAACGGCGGACGTGAGGAGGTGTACAGGCTGATAAACAGCGGAAGTTTAAAAAAGGGCTGAAAAGGAAGTTTTGCACACATGTGATCTCCTTAGCTCCATAAATTCCTCCACGCTTTATGATGCGGAAATCTAACAGCTTCCTTGGATTCTGGCAAAAGAAGACCGTGATAGTCAACCTCTCAACTTTGTCTTTCTTTCGGTTAAAAGTTGAGGAAAGCTTTGCCATAGTTGTTTACATGTAATCGATGTAGTCTAGAAAAAAACACGATGATTAACCAAAAGCATGTCTTTGGATAGCAAGATAGGCTTGAAGAGAAACCTGAAGGACAAATAGAGAAACTTGTGTAATAACTGATGCGTCAACGGATGCTGCTATTTATAACCCGTTTCCTTTTAATCATCCTCATTGGACAATCTCAGCAAGCGTTTTAGGAATCACGTTCATAGAGGGTGTAAATTTACGGTGAAAAAACAAGGCTGTGCGGAATTTGAAGAAATCGTGTACATAAGTATATTTCCTTTCTACGTTATATACTGTGTATCGTTTGTTAGAGAACAGTAAAGATCGATCTAGTGTCTGGGGCACTTATTTTCTTTGGTTAGTGAAGGAAGGGTGCTTATTCGAAACAGGCGCTTTTTAGGGACAGGGTGCTTATTCTTTATTTGAGAATCTGCAAGATGTTTGAAAGAAAACCGGAAAACGGACTTGACGACCCAGGTTCCTACCTGACTAGAACATAAAGTCAAGCAATCCCCGCAAAATTTTAAGAAGAGGTCATTCATAATACGAAGACTAATACGAAGGCCACAGTTTTTGTGATGAAGCTTTAAACCCCTTTACGTCACGTCCTTCCTTTAATACTGACTCCAAATTTCCTACCCTTCCCCCCCATCAGCAGCTCATTATGACTGACACGAATTTCAAAACTAATAGATATTTGAAACTGAGGTCGAGGTCGACACTGAGACAAAGTACGATCTTATTGGGCATATAGTTCAACAAGATCTGTTGGATAGTGTTGGTTCTGTAGCCTATAAATTCTAACCCTTTACACCCTAAAATTAGCATGAATATTCTCCATAGTGTTCTCTAAACATTTCCTAAGATGCCGACATGGAGAATTTGCTTAACGATCAAATCTTCTTTAGTGGGTGATCAGCTCCTTTATTCTTCTGACCTTAGATGCCAGTCACTCTTAGGGTTCAAGAGTTAAAGAAGTACATAACTACCGATTGAAATAGAAGTCTTCCACAGTGAAGGAGGAGCCCTCAAAAGGTGTGTGGGTGAGGGAGTTCCGCCGTGTCCTTAAACCTTTGCATTGTTTCAGATAAATAATCATAAACTCCCTTCATCGGTTCACCTCGCTGCCCCGTCCAGGACTAGGGTGAGGGCAAAAATGAAAATTAACCTGCTGTGTCGACCTCATCCTGCAACTTATGAAATATTTGGACAGATTATTCAGCGATTAGATCTCAAATAATTGTCAGTATCATGCATGTTGAACACGCATCGTCAACGTTCAAACCCTATTTAAGGTCTTTGGTCCAGAAGACATCCACTTCAAGAGGCAATTCGTGAAATCACATTTCCTGTTTAAAACTTAAATGGCCGAAATGTTTTGAATGAACATATTTTTATTGGTTAATTGAAAGCAGATGTGGTACTTGTAAACTGCATCTCAGTTCAAGTTGCTCAGTTTGATAAGATTGTTCAAGTATCGTAAGTTAAAATAAAATGACCACAAAATTGATTTCGGAGGCAATTAATTGTTCCGGCCTGTGGTAAACTGCAAGTCGCAGAGCCCACACTCCATAGGGGAGTATTAAAAATACTTCATGTCTCAATTGCACCGCATCAAGCTCTATGTTGTCAGCCACCTAAATTTTGCAATTTCCATCTGGAGATTGCCATATCTTTGAACCTGTTATGAACACATCTGAGAGTTAAGGCTTTACGCTAAACCACCAAAATGCCGTGCATCTCTATATATATAAATTCAGAGCACTGGGCAGAAATCACATTGTGTCAACACCGTTTCCGGCCATCACAATGGCTTTGCTATCGATCTTGAACAAGGAATTCCTAATAAGCGCGAGTCATCAGCTCGCGTTGATTACATCCCTGCCCGTTTTGCTGCCAGACGATTGTCTATTGTGCAAATTATGTATCGGTTAGAATGTCTTCAGCAGTTCAGACAAGGCAACAATTGATCTTAAACGAGGAATTCCCAGTAAGCGCGAGGAATTCCCAGTCATCAGCTCGCGTTGATCACATCCCCTGCCCGTTTTGCTGCAAGACGATTCAATAAAGTTTTAATTTGGTTTCAATTTGCTGCCTTTCAAAAAAATCGAAGTGGTTTCATCAACCCAATTTACACGGAGAAATTAAGAAAGAGGAAATAGATGCCTTTGTGAAATTTATTTCTACCTCGTCATTATTATTTAATCTCCTGCCTCTTCACAGAACTTGTTAACGTTTTGACTTGACAATGCAACTTTGTTGATGATGATGATATGATTTTCATCTGCTTTCTATTTGCGCAAAGTTCTAATATTATTAAATACTTTAAAGCGATACACTTGACCCGTGATATGTGATCATGTTTACCTACCACACACCAAGGTGTACATAGCATCCTAAGTTACATCATACTCTTCGGACTGTCACCTGCAAATGTTCTTATCAATTTTTTAAATTTTGAATTCCCATTCCAAGTTATGATAAGTAGTCTGATAGCCTCCTTAAAAGAAGTGAATTCAGAAAATGCTGCCAACCACACAACCTGCAATGCCGTGTCACACCACCTACGTAGATCCCTCAGAAAATCCACAGATTCCAGTGTCGAAGGTGTTTGGGCATACTCTAACTGAACGAAGACCTGAAGTAGTAAACACGAGGTTCAAATTAGAAATAAAAGACATTGGACAGTTCTATATGCATCGTTGCCCTCGCCACTCGCGCGCTTTATGTATTGTATTACATGTCGAGATTTCTATCGCATGATAGTTCGTTGATGAGGGAGACGCCGAAACAACCATCTCGCAAGAAAACGAGAGCGAATAATCTATTTGTTTGATGTAATTCTACTAGCCGCTCTAAACTTCCCATCAAGAAAGGCTCGTGTTTTTTTTCTGTTTTTTTTATAACTACGCGATGTTTATCTTCTCAGGTTACTCACTGTCTATCACGGTATAGTGATACAACACTTAAGGATTTATACTAAATATAATTACAGCATGTCCGTGCTTACTACCGGGTCGAGAGAAGAGTCACATGATGATTATTTGCATCTCTCCGAACTAAATGCACCATAACAATTTTCAGAACACCCCAACAGCTGAAAATTTGTTCGACGTTTCAGACGTACAGATTTAGATAATCATCATTATCATCGAAGTGTTCGTAAACATCAGGTTTTATAAGTTCACCGCC